GCCGGCGGAGGCACGAGCGGCAGCGGCAGGGGGGGCATTTCGGGGGTTGGGAGGGGGGGGGCAAGGGAGGTGCGCTCGCCATGCAGCCTGACATCCTGCCCCTCCCTCCCATCCCTCTCAACAGAAGCACCTCATGATTCATGTGTTCGGCCCTCCTGCCTGAAATCGCATTCCAAAGGGTTAGTAGGGGTCCATTTGCTGCTGATCAGGCGGGAATCCTGGACCACAGCACGGTTTTGGGACTCTGGTCGTGTTCTGAGGATGCCTCGGGCGAGACTGGGGCTCCCAGAGTCCCAGAACCGTCCCACTGCGCTGGTTTCGTCTCTGTCCGCGGATGCGTGTCATAGCCGGCCTGGAACTCCGAAGAGGACCCCAGTGAGTCCTGCGCAAGTGGAAGTGGGAGCCGCGTGCACAGGAGGAAGGGGAGGAGGAGGAGGCGGAGGAGGAGGAAGTAGGACGAGGACGAACAGCAGCAGCATGAACTGGAGTGGAAGGAGCGTGATGGCAGGATGACCAGGGGAAGGCAAAGGAGGGGAAACGAGGGGGGCGACAACGATGAAAAAAGACCAGGATCCGGACAAATGGCCCGCACTGGGGCGAGAGCGCCATTCTGAAGCACGGGAGCAACATGCCGATCCTGACATGAGGCCCACTCTGCAGCGGGAACACCAGTCTGAAATGCCAAAAACAATCCGATGACCTGAACTCCGCCGACACCTCGTGGGCCTCCAAGCGTCCAAGAGTCCTCCTCCCCACAACCCCTCCCCCTGGGATCCCAGACCCGGGACTTTGACCCCCTCCCACGGGCCCTGGGTGACCCCGGCCCGGACGCGTCATGGGGGGGATAGGGGGCTCCCGAAACGGGCCGAGAGGGACCCAGGAGGTCCCAAGGCGGTCCAAGAGGGCCCTGAGACGACGAAGGATCTGTCCCAAAGGCCCAGAATAGCTCCCAGACAGCTCAGAGTCCACCAGGGCGCCCTCAGACATCTCCAAGAGGCTTCCCAAGAGGGCTTCAAGAAGCAAATGTCCCATCCCCTTCGGAAGGCGTATGTTTGTTTTGAATACGCGCCTCTTGGGCTTCCGAAGAGTCCAACACGGCTCAAGAGGCACCCAGGCGGGGCTCCAACACGGCCCAACAGAAGCCCCAAACGGGCAAACCAAAAAACACACACACAGGCCCCCCCCGGATGGCCACAGCTAGGGCACAGAGGGGTAATCCGAACGGGCATTTCGAGCCTTCGGCTTCAAGACGCCTCCCGGTTGCTCCAAGATGCCCCCAAGAGGCCGCCGGGGAACCCCAAGACAAAGAGCCCCCCAAGCCCCCCAGGATGGCCCCCAAGAGGCCCGACAGCTGCCTCCCAGACGCCCTCCTCCGCCACCCCTCGCCCTTATTGGCAAGTCCTCCCTGCCGCACCATCAGGCGTGTCAAAAGGGGAGTCTTGGCGCTCCGCCTGGGACCCTCGCAAAATATGGCCCCAGAGATCCATGACGTGATGGCAACTTCGAGACTTGGCTCTCGCGGGCGGTGGTGCCGCGCACACTTGTGGTAAAACTCTTTCAGCGACTGTACGACTTGGGAACGGATCTGACCAAGGTTTCAGGGGAAATTCAGCCGTGTCGACGAAAACCCTTCAGGAGGATCAAACAAGTAAGATCAACGCCCACATGTCAACGACGAATCTTCATCGCCACTCCTTCCTCCGCGTCAAATAAAGAGGCCCCTCCTAAAAATGTAGAACCCCGCGTCGCTCTGGGCGATGTACTGCACCACGTTCTGGAGCTTCTCCGCCTGGCAAAAAGGCGCCCAACGCTTGCGCCAACAACGGAAGGGACAGACGATGAGGATAAAACGGAAGGGCGGCGCGCAGATCCCTGGCGACCCGAGCGCAGTCCGCCGCAACATACTTCGCAACTTTCGGCTGCCGAGGGGCGTCCCTGGGCACCGGCACCGTCAAACGAGTTCGCGGTGCGCAAAATCCCTGCCCCGGGAGGTGGTTGAAAACTCGGGGCGGTCATGTCATGAGGAAGGTCTGGCGCTAAGTCGGGCGTGTCCCCCTACAGGAGGATTTTGGACGACAAACTTGAAAAGTAGCCAAAAAATGCCCCACAGTGCCCCAAAGTGGTCGAAACATCGCCCCCAGAATATTTTTTGACTAGCTTTGAATCTTCCTCCTGTAGAGGGACAGGCCCGACTTCAGTCTGGCGCAGGTGGGAGGACTCGCTCGCCCTCGCCCTCGCCCTGTCCATGTCTCTCCCGCCTCCGCTGCCCGTGGAGGGCCCACAAGGATCTCTCTCTCATGGCTGGTGCCTGGGCGGCTCCCCCGGGGCCGTAGGCGACCCGAGGAGGGAAGGGCGAGGAGGAGGAGGAGGAGGAGGAGGAGGAGGAGGAGGAAGGAGGAGGAGTAGGAGGAGGAAAAGGGGGAGGAGGAGGAGGAGGAGGAGGAGGAGGAGAGGAGGAGGAGGAGGAGGAGGAGGAGGGAGGAGGAGGAGGAGGAGAGGAGGAGGAGGAGGAGGAGGGGGAGGAGGAGGAGGAGGAGGAGGAGGAGGAGGAGGAGGAGGGGGAGGAGGAGGAGGAGGAGGAGGAGGAGGAGAAGAGGAGGAGGGGGAGGAGGAGGAGGAGGAGGAGGAGAGAGGGGTCGTTTGGCCGAAGCGATTCTGTTCGCCCCAGCGTGGCACCGCCGGGCTCGCGCCGAGCGGGCAACTGACAGATTATTGCTCAGGTTGTGCAAGGCTGCAAAGAACCCAGGGGAAGACCACGCGACCTCGATGCCCGCTCACTGGCAGTGCCCCCCAAGTGCGGCAAGAAGCTGCCAGTGACATCATGGAGCTGCTCGTGCGGGAAGGCCTGGACGTGAGCCTCAGGACGGTCCCCTCAGAAAGGCCCCACGGCTAAGGCGACAGCGAAGACACCGCTGTGGGCCAGGGAGGACACCGACAAGCAGGAGAGAGTGGAAGCGATCATCAAAGAGATCCCCCTCGCAATGCCGCAGGAATCGAGAGCCATCCGGCCTTGACGGCACCACCGACAGAAGAGAAGGATCAGAAGGAGTTCAACAAGATCGTCGAGCAGAGGACCTTCCAGCTAGCAAGACTGATCAAGTCCGAGAGGGAGGCGGAGAAAGACTTCGAGGAGGAGCGCGTGGAGATCGCAATGCTGAACCACAGCATGTTCGCGATGCGCTCGGTGGCCAGCCGGCTCATAGCACTGAGGATGAGGCCGGACAGCAGATCGGAACGCCGCCAGACACTCGCCAGAAAGATCAGCGACACGCAGCAGGAGGACCACGACATGCACCGCGAGGAGATGGAGATCCACGGGCTGGCCAAGGCGAGGGAGAGCGTCAAGGCCGCGCAGGCGGCCGCGCAGGCGGCAGCCGCAGCTACCAACCCTCCCCGCAGCCCAGGCCGTGCAAGCGCGGGCTCGAGCGCACGGCAGGCGGGGCGTGCGGGCGAGGCGCGGCCCAGGCAGCCGCCGCAGCTGCGGGCCGAGGCCGCTCGCGGGCGGCGCAGCAGGTTGCAGGCCGCGGAAAAGGGCGAGGACAATGGAGCTGGACGGTCCACTCGAGATCTCCCACAAGCTCCTGGCCAACGAAGGCAAGCACGAGGACAAGCGCTCGACCCGTTCCCGAGGAGGCACGGGGTCAGGCGCATTGCCATCCCCAGCCAGGGCATCCTCCCAGGCGCGCCAGACACCGCCGACGTCGGCCAGGAGTGCTCTGCCAGGACCAAGTCGGACGGCAAGAGCTCCAGGGACGGCGACCAGCGAGTGGCAGATCGAGACCGACAGGACGCTACAGTAGATGCACGATCAGATGCAGACCCACGCTCGCGAACAGCACTCACTGGTCACGCAGCTGCACATGGCGCTGAGCACCCTCAACTCGACCATGCAGGGCGGCTTGGCAGGAGCAGGGCGGGCGGCAGCGAGCCCCAGCTCCGTCGTCGTGCAGCAGGGCCTGGACACCGCCCCAGCTGCAGCAGCAGCAGCAGTACCAGGAGCTGCAGATGCGGGAGCGTCAGCAGCAAGAACAGCAGCTCCAGGCGCAGCAGCAACTACTACAGCACCAGCCGCTGGAACAAGAACTCCAGGCGCGGCTGCAGCAGCAGTAGTTGGCCGGGCTCATTTTGTCCTTACTCGAGGAGCTGCGCCATCTCCATGACATCCACATCGAATACGCCAAGGGCCTGTTGGACATCCTTGGCAGGCGCTAAGCGATCCGGTGCCCAAGTTTTACAGACTTGCCGAACCAGAGTTTGTAAATATGGAGCTGGTGGAAGCACTCACTTGCGAGAAGGCTGTGGAGTGGGCATGGCTTTCGGAATTGGCTTTCAATTGCGAGAAGGAGCTTTTGTGTATAATGTGACCCCCAAACCGTCTGATTTTGAGCATGTGGGATTGGCCAATGAGACGGAGCAGGAGGTCAAGAAACTCAGGCGCACTGGACTTTCTCTGCATATCATGAGCTATAACGTATGCGCCCTGGCGGAGGAAGGAGAGCTCGACGAGATGGACATGCGAGGCCGAGCCACCAACCTACGCGCACAGCTTCGAGATGACGTACATATAGCAGGGCTGCAGGAAGCACGAGGACAAGGAAGTGCACAAGTGGCCGACAATGTTTGGCAAATCATGTCTGGGGCGGATGAAGGTGGCAATTACGGCTGCGGGCTGTTGGTCAACCTTCACCTCCCCTGCGGCGTCGACGGAAAAGGCCAAGAGCTGTTCTTTCATCCGAGGCAGTGTCTGGTTTTGGAAGCAACGCCGAGGTGGCTCGTGGTTCACTTGGAAGCTCCCGCGTGTGATGTGGTCATTGTTGTTGCACACGCTCCACATTCGCACAAGCATGCTGACATACGCAGCGAGTTCTGGAAGGCTATGCGGAGGATACTGCAGCAGCTTCGTCCGCAGATGCTGCTGATCGATACGAACGGGCTTGTTGGCATGGAAACGACAAGAACTGTGGGCGATCTAGGCTGGCTACAAGAAGCCGACCCAAACGGACGGGAACTACATGAGATCGTGCTCGCAGCCGACATGCTGCCGACCACGACGCGGACACTTGGTACGGTGTGGATATGCCAACGATTCATGATGATCATTTCTCCATTCTTGTCCAGGCCCAAAGTTTTGTGAGTCACAGGCCGAAGAACAGCAATCTAGGTACCATGAGGAAACTAGACTGGCGGAAGTTGCAGTCACCAGAAGCTCAGGAAACTTTCAAGAAGGATATTGACAAGCTGCACGCCAGTCCGTGCGATACCGAGGTCAACGAGCACTGCCAGATAGTTACTGAGCGTGTTGTGAAAACAGCAAAAGGTGCTACGGTGCTTCGAACCTCACGCCTATTCAACATTACATGCACTTGGAAACGATAACGTGTATCAAGATCCGTCGATTCGGGCTGCAAACACTCCGCCCACTTGGCAACGGAGAGCCTGCAAGTACATTGCGCTTGCACAAAGGCTGCCACGGGAGCGCGACATTTACTTCGATGCAGGTTCATTTTGGTGTGCCGATGGCGCTGAGTTGGGAGCACTGGAGCGATGGTCAGGTATGGGAGGAGGTCGAGCGCGCGAGCCTGATTGGGCAGATGCGCATGGCTGTAGGACTCTTCATCGGCAACATCAAGAAGCCCCTCGTCGCGAAGTTGAAGGCCGATCGGGAGAAGCACCTTGCGGGGGTCGCCGAGGCTCTTCAGAATGCAATCGCAAGGAACATATCGCAGGAGGAATGGAGGCTCTTGCAGCAACTGGAACAGTACGGTGGCAAGCGACACAAGCGAAATACTGCAAAGGGGGCCTTGCTTATGAGACGCAACGAAAATGGATAACCCGTGCGCAGCCTTCTTGAGTTACGAGAGCTGGAGCTTCGACACTCTGCGAAGATAGAGGGTGCGAAGATTCTTGCACCTGGAGGGCTTCACACGCTATACGAATGCAGATGCAAGAGTGCGGTCCGAACGACGACGGTAGACATCGAGAACATACCACGCAATACCGATGTGCAACAGGGCTTGTCGGGATCGGCTCGCGGTAAGGTTGGAGGCCTGGACGGGATCACGGACGACGTCATGAGGACAACTATCCCGGAGATAGCCTCGCATCTGCACCCGTTGTACGTGAATTTCGGCCTCATGCAGCAAGAGTCATCATCCTTTTCTGGAGGGCGAGCTGCAGCAATCCCGAAACCCAAACTTACACAACAGCTCATGATTGGATATCGTGAGACCTTGCGCAACAGTACAATTAGTACGTTGTATCACAAGCTAGTCACATGGCGAGTTGTCACAATAGCAGCACACCTTCTTCGTGATACACAGCGTGGAGGCAGAGCCAGGCGCTCGACGGCCATGGTTAGTCATCAGATTCGGGCCTTTCTGGACATCACTGCAATGCGCAAGGTAACTGCTATCATACCTTTTGTCGATATTGCCCATGCTTTGTATTCAATGGTCAGGCAAGTTCTGATGGATCTTCCAGTTGAGGAGGACGACTACGGGGCCTTGCTGGAAGAAAAAAGGAGTACCGATCACGCTCATGCCGGCCGTGGAAGAGGTGATGAAGATGCCTGGTATCTTCCCAGAGGTGCCTTCACACTTATGCCGACTCCTGACGGAAGCACACAGATGCACGTGGTTCACCACGCGCACGCCTCAGGTTGCATTTGCAGGCAAAGGCACCAGGCCAAACAATTCGCTGGCATGGTGGGTATATGATGTTCTTCAGGCCAATATTGCACGCAGAACCGTTGGAAGACTTGCGAGCTGAAGACTTCTTGATGTCTATAGA